ATCAAAACACAGAGATGCTTATCTTGCTTGTAAGTCAAAATGTGGGTAAGCTAGGACATTTAGGATTTTTGTTTGCTTGTTTGTTTCTTTTTCAAATTATTCAGATAGCAGGTCACTGATTTTTGGCTCGAAGAGCTAAAAATCAGTGACTAAAATGCTGCTGGGAATGGTTTTGTACTTGGTAAAAAATACATGCTAAATCTTTTACTATTCATTATTGGCCAGGTACTCTACATTGGCTATTTAATTTCATCCTAAAGACCACTCCACTTTCCAGAAAATGATATTCATCTGCATCTTTCAGATGAGTAAATAATCTCAAGGAATAAAAAATTGCCTCGAATCATGCAACTAGTAAAAGGTGAAGCCAGTCTATGGATACAAAGCCAACTCCTTCCTCTTGAAGGTTGGAAACGCAAACACTAAATTTAATTAACATCTATACCTTCTGTTAAGATGTGCATTATCAACATGCTCAGAATGGTGTAGCTGTTATCTGAACACAATCTACTAAACATTCAGCATTCAGATTTCTTTTTCTTTCTTTCTTTTTCTTTTTCTTTTTTATTTTTTTGATGCAAGGTCTGGGTCTGTCACCCAGGCTGAAGTACAGAGGCATGATGATCTCAGCTCACTGAAACCTCTACCTCCCAGGCTCAAGCCATGCTCCTATCTCAGCCTCCCAAGTAGCTGGGACTATAGGCACACATCACTACACCCGGCTCGTTTTTATATTTTTTGTGGAGTTGGGGGTTCATCATGTTGCCCAGGCTGGTCTTGAACTTATGAGTTCAAGTGATCAGCTCATCTCTGCCTCCCAAAGTGCTGATATTACAGGGTGAGTCAACACACCTGGCCCTCAGATTGCTTTTTAAAAGTTGGTAATGGTAATATGGCTTTAGCAGAGATATATGGGTAAAGGCTTCTTAATGGCATGTTTTAAGAGAAAGAAATAAGAGAGGAGAGTTTTCGTGGTGATTTGAGAATGTTAAAGTAATTTTATAATACCTAATATTTCTTTGTTTAATTTGGCTATTTGTAGTATAAATAGAAAATTAAAAGTAGTATTAATTCTTAGAAAATAAACTCAAAATGGTTAATTATATAGACAATGTAATATAATGATGCTAATAAAGTACAGAAATTTATAAAATGCATTTAGTTTTCTTTTTCCAGATCAAAGGAATAATTCTGTCAAATATATTGAATTATTATTATGCAGTGGACCCACATGATTATATCACTTTTAAAATGGCACTCCATGACAAGGTGACTTGTTTGCTATACTCTAAACTATTTGAATAGGGTATCAAAAGACACAGAAAAGAAAGTATGTCTACTTGTATGTTAGCCTATTTTGAACTAATTTAAAAGCAGCTGTCAGAATTAGCTTTCTAGGATTTCTTGTTGCCTGTGTAAGGCATTGCTTTTTACTAAGTCTTACAGAGCCTAGCTATAATAGTTTAAAACATAGAGCATGCTTTTGAGAAGATATTTTTAGCAACAAATTACTTTATATAAAGTACAAGTAACTTGATATTAAAGGTAACCATTTTAAAATACTGAGAAGTAAATGCCTGTAATCCCAGCACTTTGGGAGGCCGAGGAGGATGGATCACGAGGTGAAGAGATCGAGACCATCCTGGTCAACATGGTGAAATCCCGTCTCTACTAAAAATACAAAAAATTAGCTGGGCACGGTGGCGTGTGCCTGTAATCCCAGCTACTCAGGAGGCAGGAGAATTGCCTGAACCCACAAGGCGGAGGTTGCGGTGAGCCGAGATGGCGCCATTGCACTCCAGCCCGGGTAACAGGAGAGAAACTTCGTCTCAAAAAAAAGAAAAAAGAAAAAAAAGAAAAATCTTCGTGACACCATTAAAACATAAATTAATACTTCTAAGGGGGTCTTAAACATTTTTCAAATGCACTGGAAAATAGACATGTAAAGTATAATCCCTCCATTGTACCTCTCACAGAGTACTGATATTTTTACAGAAAATACAAGGAACTAAGTATGGACATTCTGTACCTGCAGTTAACTGGTGCATATAATGAAATAAAAGCTGGCATATCTTCTTCTTATCCAAGGAGAAAAGTGGAGCAATTTTCTAGGAGTTTAGGTTGACCTATAATGGACAAGGTGAACTATTAACCTATAATTATTTTAAGAAAAATTTTCTTTGAACTTGTCTGAAAATTGGAGAAGCAATAAATAATATCATGCAGAAGAAAATACCCGGGCTCTGGAATTTTATTTTTTATAGATATATCATAATTGTACATATATTGGGGGTATATGTGATGTTTTGATACATGTATACAATGTGTAAAAATAAAGCCAAGGTAACTGAGATATCCACCACCTCAAACTTTTACCTTTTCTTTGTATTGGGAACATTACAATTCTTCTCTTCTGGTTATTTTGACATATACAGTAAATTACTGTTAACTGTAATTTTCCTACGGCACTCCGAAACATTAGAACTTATTTCTTCAATCTAACTGTATTTTCATGCTCATTAATCAACTTCTCTTCATTTCTCTTTCTCCGCACTTTCCTTCCCGTCTCTGGAAAGCATAATTCTACTAATCTACCTCCATGAGATCTACTTTTTTTTAGCTCCCATGTATGAGTGAGAACATATTCTTTGATGGCTTGTTTCACTTAACATAACAACCTGCAGTCCCATTCATATTGCTGCCAATGACAGGAATTAATTCCTTTTTGTGACTGAATAGTGTTTGATTGTATACATACACCAATTTTCTTTACCCGTTTTTTTCAGTGATGGAAACTTATGTTGATTCTGTATCTTGGCTATTATAAATAGCACTGAAATAAACATGGGTATGCAGATACCTATTCAATACAATGATTTTCTTTCTTTTGCATATATACTTAGCAGCAGGATAGCTGGATTGTATGGTAGTTCTATTTTTAGTCTTTTGAGAAACTTCCATACTGTTTTCCATAATGGCTGTACTACTTTACATTCCCACTAACAGCATACAAGCATTTCTCTCTCTCTCTATCTTTGCCATCATTTGTTATTTTTTGTCTTTTTGATAATAGCCATTCTAACTGGAGTGAGATAATATCTCATTTTGTTTTTGATTTGCATTTCCCTGATGATTAGTGATGTTGAGCATATTTTCAGACACCTATTGGGAATTTGTATGTCTTCTTTTGAGAAATGTCTATTTAGATATTTTGTCCATTTTTAATTGGATTATTGTTTCCTGTTGAGTTGTTTGAGTTTCTAATATATTCTGGTTATTAACCTCTTGTCAGATGGATAGTTTGCAAATATTTTCTCCCATATTATAGAGTGTCTCTTCACTTTGTCGAATGTTTCCTTTGCTGTTCAGAAGTTTTTCAGTGTGTGGTAATACCACTTGTCTACTTTTGTTTTTGTTGCCTGTTCTTTTGAGGTCTTACCCAAAAAATCTTTGCCTAGACCAATATCTTGTGATGTTTCCTCAATGTTTTATTTTTGTAGTTTCATAGTTTAGGTTTGACATTTAAATCTTTAATCAATTTTAAGTTGACTATTACATATAGTGAGAGAGAAGGGTCTAGTTTCATTCTTCTGCATATGTATATCCAGTTTTCCTAGCATCACTTATTAAAGAGACTGTTCTTTCCTCAGTGTATGTTCTTGGCGCCTTTTGCAAAATTAGTTGGCTGTAAGTGCATGGATTTATTTTTGTGACCTTTATTCTGTTCCATTCATTGGCATGTCTGTTTTCATGCTAGTGCTATGTTGGTTTGGTTACTATAGCTTTGTAGTATAATCTGAAATCAAGTTCTTTAATGCCTCCAGTTTTGTTCTTTCTGCTCAGGATTGCTTTAGTTATTTGGAGTCTTTTATGTTTCTCCATTAATTTTGGATTCCTTTTTCTATTTCTGCAAAGAATGTTATTAATATTTTGATAGGATTGCTGAAATTTGTCTTTTTAATAGGTCAGCAGAGAATATAGGAAATGATATTTGCTTTTAGTTCCTGGGTCTTTCATAAAGAATATAAAATCTGTGTGTATTTTATATTCACACAGATTTTCTAACCTATCTATACTATTTATTATTTACTCATTTAAATAGCAGGGCCATACTGAACCATAAACAAGGTTGGGAATTTGTATAATCTGCATATAACTGTGATTCAGCAATATGTATATAGTTGATTCTCATTATCTATGATTTCATATTTCCAAATTCACCTTCTCGTATATTTTACATTTTTGTGCTTAATGTTGGTGATTCCATGTTTTGAAATGGCCCCAAAGAGCAGTGCTGGCATGCTGTCTCATGTTCCTAAGCACAATAGGCTGTCACACACCTTATGGAGGAAACAGGTGTGTTAGAAATTCTTTGTTGAGGCATAAGCTACAGTGCTGTTGATTTGAGTTCCATCTTAATCAATCAACAATATGTGTTATGTAAGATGCCTTTAAACAGCAACATACATAAAGCAAAATTATATATTGATTATTTGACAAAAATACTGGAGCCAGAGACTTGCAATAACCTAACCCTCAATTTCTTCTAGGAACAATGCTTCACCATTTGCTAATTCAGTGTTTGTGGTGACTTCATAAATCACAACTACTGCAAATATCAAGAATTGACTGTATTGAAAATGTACGATTACCAGTTAGTGGGCTAGACCCCAGAGATTCAGGGACCAAAGGCACAGTGCTTGGCCCCACAAGGATCAACATCTATTTGAAAGATGGATTAGCAATAGAATGATTATACAGAGTGGAGAAAATGCTGTGGTATAGATGCAACCAAGGTACTAAGAGGAGTCTAACCCTACCTGGGGTGTCCAGATAATGATATACAGATCCATAGCTGCATACCTAAGAAATGATAGAAACAGTAAAAAAGAATGTGCTTCATGTGGGAGAATGTAAAGTAAATGTGGCTTTGTGTTTAATTTTAAGCACAGCATAATGTTGGTGGGGTTCTGAATCATTTTGGTACTATGTTGTTACAGAAATACACCGTGGTGAAATATTTCCACCTCTTGCCAAAATGAACACTGAGAAAAAATGAAGAAGGCTGACAAACACCAATGAAAAGTTACAGAATAGAAATAGCCACACTTTTCTGGAGTCTTTAATTCATCTACAGCCATCATATAAAGGTAGGGAAATAAATCATCTTGTGGTTTTGTCCATTTAAAATGTATTTTAAAGTAAACAATACTAAAAACAAAGAAACATGCATGTGTTGATTCAACAATATTCATTGGGTGACTGCTATAGACCTGCTACAGTGCCTGCAAGGTATGGCCTTGCAGAAGCTCACTTTCCAGGGGAAAGGGTAAGTAAGTAAATGAAAGGGAAACTGGCAACCACTGATAATGTCTGTGAACATGAGAAGCAGGTTAACAAGATAAGGGATGACTGAGAGACTACTTTAGTTGACTGTCAGAGCAGACCACCTAGAGAATTTGAGCTGGGAACTGAGTGATAGAAAAAAGCCAGCCACATAGGGTTTGAAGATTGTGCCTTCCATGTGTAATGAACCAGGATCCACACTGATATATTCAAGGTTTGGAAAGCAGGCCAGTATCACTTTAAGAGAGGGGCTTTGGGAAAAAAACATGACATAGGAGATGAAGCTGGAGAGTTGTATAGATGTGGGAAAATGTCTTAATTTTATTTCAATAAAGATGGAAGTCATTGGAGAGTTATTAGCAGGCTAATGAAAGAATTTATATATATTTTAAAGGCCATTCTTCTGTATTTTGGCCAACTAGTATGTATGGGGGTTTCAGGAGCTGAAAACAGGGTGCTCTTATCCATATAAGAGATACTGCTGACTTGGCTTAGGGATGTGGCATTGGAGATGGATGAATTTGAAAGATATTTTGTGTCTGCTTCAGAACATAGATGACTACCCAAACTCTTTATGAATCTCCAAATAGAATTCTAATTTCCATATGCAGGATATGCTGTCTATTTGTGTTTTAATACACAATAATCAGTCTGTAATTTATTCCACTGTTTCAAAGAACTGCTTATGATACATATGTTTGTGGCCTGCTTCTGAAACTTAGAAGATGTTGATGTCAAATTGTGAAAAGAAAGAAAATTCTGCCCCTAAATCTCATATTCTAGGTGGGTTATCTTCTAACACTCAGAGGCTTGAGCATTCCAAATGTGTTTGTAGCTCCTCTCCTGCTTCCTGGGTGGCTCTTGACTTCTAAGAACATTGTTGCTAAAGCCACTGAGAGGCAGCCTGTGGGAAGGGTGTCCTTCTAGATGAGAAACATGAGTTTTTTAAGGACTGGTGGCTTAGGTCAGTCAAACATAACTTTAAGACTACAACTTTCATACTGGGTTTTTCCGAGATGGAATGCTGAAGGGAAAACTGAAATACAACTTCAAATTGGTGCTTTAAAATGATGAGAATATATGGATTTAAGCAATGGTTACCAGAGAAACTTATCCTCTGTGAAGTGAGGGTTTCACATCTTGGATTATGTAACCATTGTGCTATGTCCATAGGGGAGGGAAGGGAGGATAAGAGATGTGTGCAATGACCTTGTAGGTCCAAATTTGCAAGAAGCCAACAGCTACTTTTGGAAGGTGGACCACCCTAAAGTCTGTGTTCAGAAGAGTTATTCGTGACAGCTCAACTGAACAGTATTTTAAGATCTCAGCAAAGTACAGTTTGCTTTCCAATATTCATAACTGTCTGAAATCGTTCTAAACTTGTAAGATGTAGGAATTCTTCCTTCCTCCACCCCAGATACTTCTGTAAAACTTTTGGTCATTAGAAAACCACTCCAATGCAGCAGTTATACAGTGTTGGATAATTAAAAAGTCTCATGAGACTCTACAAGTTCACAGGAGAGCCAAGGCTCAAGCTTATTTAGGCTTTTTTTTTTTTACCCCACAGCTCAGGTAGCTAAAAGCAAGCTTTGTTAACAAGTTAACAGGTACAAACCATCAAACAGTAGAGTTTTGATAGACAAGATGGTACAGGATGCTGGTGGGGTTTTAGACTTTTCATAGCACATTATAAATCACTAGCTAGCACATTTCACTTCTGACTTGCTCAAAATCAATACCATGTTTCCAGGTGCCCATCAAGATAAGCAAAGAGCTACGCATGGTGCACAAGTTAACCCTTTCCTCATATGCTTAGAGAATTGAGCCAGGATGAAAACAGAGAAGACCTAAAGATGGCATACCCCATTCTGTGATTAGTCTTGTCATCCGCTGGACTAGGTACAACTCTTTGATTAGCTGGAGAGATCATTAACATGTTAGGCCTTTCAAGTAGAAGTCAAAGTTTCTTAAGAAATTATTGGATTCTGAAGCAACAAGACCAACATAAACTAGAAAGAGTGATGGTGCCTTAGGTTGATTTCTCCAGAAGCGGAGAGACAAAAAAATGGAGTAGTGTTTATTGGGAGGCAATGCCAACACACATTTGTAAAGTAGTGCAGAATGAGACAGAGAAAAGAAGGAAGACACAAAAGGTCCTTTATCACTTCTGTGATCAAAAGGTACACAATCACATTAGGTAACTTTGGGATACAGCATAGGACATAACTTGGATTTATGCCAACCAAGGACATAGAATTTAGGGTATTTAGCCACCTTCTCCCATCTGTTCTGACTAAGGGCTTCTCCCCTGGGTGGAAGTGGGGAGTGTTGACTCCTTGATATTTGTAAAATGCCATACATGTAGACCAAGAAGACTCCAGCAGCCAGAGGCAGCCCTCAGGTAGAGTTCCAGATGTTAAAGCCACCATCAGGGCAACTTGCACAATGATGATAACTACCAATAAAATGAGGATGGAGTACCTACAGTTTCTGCTACAAGAAGTGACAGCAAACATGATGGTGATGATCATGATCATATGAATAGAGCTATCATTTATTGAGCAACTAGAAGCCAAGTGGTATACTAAATACATGCATTTTCTCATTCAATTCTTATTTATTTGTTGAACATCTACTCTGTGTCAGGTGGGATATATATATATATATGAGGATATACACACACACATATATATATATATATATGAGGATATATATATATGAGGATATATATATGTGTATATAAAATCACCACAATCTTGCCTCATCTATATTATTCCAGTCTTTAATTTAGAGATGAGCACACAAGGCTCATCAAAGTTAATCAAATTATCTTAAGTAACATAGGAAATAGAGTTAGGATTCAAACCCAGTTTTATCTGCCTTCAAAACCCTCCCTTGGTTTAGGCAACATTGTAATCCTTAACTAACTAATTAATCACTGACATTTTTCCAACACTCATCTATTAACAAGTCAGCAGGCACTATTTAGATTCTGAGATACAAAACAAAAATTGCCTCTTTTCCCAAGGAGTTCTATGTTTATGGAAGAGAAAGACCAAAAGAACTGTAGAATTATAAGGGCTATACTAGAAGTATGTTGAAGCTATTGAACAGGATCAAGGAAAAGAGTATCACTTGTTGCTGTATAACAAATAACCCCATAACTCAGTGACTTAAAATAATAAGCATGTGTTATTGACCATGAGTCTCTGAGTGAGTTGGGGACTTTTACTGATTTGGGCTAAGCTTGGCTGATCTCAACTAGGTTTGCTCTGTAGTCTGATGACAGGTTGGCTGGGGCTGAATAGTCTCAGATGCTTCACTCCCATGTCTAGTGATTGACTGGATGTGGCTACGGCAACTCAGTTCTCCAGTGGGCTAGTCAGGACTTATTCAATGGCAACTGAGCTATATGGATCACTTATTCAAGAGAATGAGTGAAAGTGTGCAAGTTTGCTCAAGGCCTGTCCTCAGAACAATCACTTCTACAACATATAGACCAAAGAAATTCGCAGGCCAGCTCAGATTTAAGGGATGTGGAAATAGACTCTACCTTCTGGTGAGAGGAGTTCAAAGTCACATAGCAAAAGGACATTGATAAAGGAAGGGGAAGAGCTAGATTGCAATCTATCTACTGGGAAGAAAACATCTGAATAAAAGATTACAGAGTAAGTAGGCATTCCCCAGCCAAATAAGATAGGAAGAGAATTTAAAGCAAAAAGGGGCTGGTTGCCATGGCTTATGCCTATAATCCCAGCACTTTAAGAGGCTGAGGCAAGAGGATCACTTGAGCCCAGGAGTTTGACACCAGCATAGGCAACATAGAACCTATCTCTATGAAAAATAAAGTAAATTATCTGAGCATGATGGCATGTCCCTGTGATCCCAGTTTCATTGGAGGTTGACGTGGGAGGATCTCTTGAGCCTAGGAGGTCAAGGCTGTAATAAGCTGTGATCGCACAACTGCACTCCAGCCTAGGCAATAGAGTAACAACCTGTCTCAAAAGAGAAAAGAAAAGAAAGCCAGAAGGATAGTATATGTTTAAAGACACAGGAATATAGTGTTCCATAATGCTGTCAGGTTACTTGGGAATGAAGGCATCTAATGGTGAGAGAGAGAGAGAGAGGAGGATTAAAGACAAGAAATCTGTAAAGTATACCTGAATTCAGGAAAATAAAAGTTAACTTGCAGACAGAATAATATGTTTATGACAAAGTGATAGGCAAATGGGAAGATGAACAAAGTTGGAATGGTTGATTGGACAGACTGGTGTGGTAATAGGGTTACCAAAATTGTTATGATTATCTCTTAGAAAAGGGTATATAGGCTGGGCTTGGTGGCTCATGCCTGTAATCCCAGCACTTTGAGAGGCCAAAGCAGGTGGATTGCCTGAGTTCAGGAGTTCAAGACCAGCCTGGGCAACATGGTGAAACCCTATCTCTACAAAAAACAAACAAATAAACAAACAAAAATGAGCCAGGCATGGTGGCATGCTACTTGGGAAACGGTTTCAGCTACTTGGGAGGCTGGGAGGATCACTGGAGCCTGGGAGGCAGAGGTTTCAGTGAGCTGATATTGCACCACTGCACACTCCAGCCTATGTGATAGAGCAAAACACCATGTCTCAAAAAAAAGAAAGAAAGAAAGAAAGAGGGAGAGAAGGATTTGTAGAACGTTATTTCAACAAGAAAGGAGGAGGGAGGAAATACTTACCGAGTGATTGAAGAAAACAATGAGGTAAAAGTAGGTCTGAAGGAAAGAATTTTTTAGCATTGGACTGTGTGTGTGGCTTCAGGGAGCTGT